TTTCCTGTAAGAAAGACATATTTGATAGACAGCATTATCGAAACCGAAAGTTTCTTTTATGAAAAGACTAATAAAATTGATAATACCACTAGAAATATGGATAAAGAAACAAAAGGAGAGAGAGAAAGCATAAATAACCAATATTAGGAATGAGACGAGCTATCATTGTATATCATAAAACAGAACAGTTACAGTTGGATATGGTAAATAATTTTAAGTCAGTGTACTAAAAATTTAAATAAAATACATAGATTCCTAGGAAACATAACTTACCAAAAAGAACACAAGAAGACAAATTTCTGCACTGATCTATAACTATTAAGTAACTCAAACCCATCTCACAAAGTAAAGCCAAGACTCAGATGCCTTCACTGAGTAATTCTATCAAAATTTAAGAAAGAAATAATACCAATCTCGCATGACATTTTCCAGAGAACAGAAGAAAGTGGAGGTCTTTACAACTCTTTTTATAAAGTTAGAATAACCCTGTAACTAAAATATTATAAGGAACATATGAGAAAGGAAAATTTGGGGCTAATTTTAGACATTAATATAGATGCAAAATTTCTAACAAACTATTAGAAAATTGTAACCAGTGGTGTATTAAAAGGATAATATACCCTATTGTAGTTTGGTTTATGCCAACGTTGCAAAGTTGGTTTACATTTTGAAAGTGAATCAAGGTAACTCACCACAGAAACAAAGGAGAAAAATCATATAGTCAAATCAATAAATGCAAAAAAAAAAAAACCCTAAAATTCAACATCCATTTATGAGAGAAAAAAATATTTTAGCAAACTAGGAATAAAAAGTAACTTCTGATAAAGGTTATTTACAAAACCATCTACAACATGCCACCCACAATATCCAACATTCAAAAAAATACTACATATATAACAAAATGGGTAAATAGTCATAGTAAGGAGGGAGGACAATAGTCAATAAAGGCAGACTCACAGATAACCCAGATATTGGTGTTTTCTGACCAGGACATTAAAACTGTTACTGTAAATATATTAGAGAACTTACAGGAGCAAATGAGTGAAATGAAGGAACAGATGGAAAACTTTAGAGGATAAACAGAATTTCTAAATAAGGACCAAGTGGAAATACTAGAACTGAAGAGTAAAGTGGAGGTAACATTTCCTAACTTATTTTGTGATCATTAAAAAGTCAAGAAACAACAGATGCTGGAGAGGATGTGGAGAAATAGGAACACTTTTACACTGTTGGTGGTAGTGTAAATTAGTTCAACCATTGTGGAAGACAGTTTGGCGATTCCTCAAGGATCCAGAACTAGAAATACCATTTGACCCAGCAATCCCATTACTGGGTATATAACCAAAAGATTATAAATCATTCTATGATAAAGACACATGAGCACTTATGTTTATTGCGGCACTATTCACAATAGCAAAGACTTGGAAACAACCCAAATGCCCATCAGTGACAGACTGGATAAAGAAAATGTGGCACATATATACCATGGAATACTATGTAGCCATAAAAAGGATGAGTTCATGTCCTTTGTAGGGGCGTGGATGAAGCTGGAAACCATCATTCTCAGCAAACTAACACAGGAACAGAAAACCAAACACCGCGTGTTCTCACTCATAAGTGGGAGTTGAACAATGAGAACACATGGGCACAGGGAGGGGAACATCACCCACTGGGGCCTGTTGGGGGGTGGGGGCTAGGTGAGAGATAGCATTAGGAGAAATACCTAATGTAGGTGACAGGTTGATGGGTGCAGCAAATCACCATGGCACGTGTTACCTATGTAACAAACCTGCACGTTCTGCACATGTATCCCATAACTTAAAATACAATTTTAAAAACCCAGCATAAATCAGATAAAATACCTGATAAAGATGTCACAGACACCTACACACACGAGACCATGTATTTCTCATGTATCACATAATCAAATGGGGTTTATTTCAGAAATGCAAGGTTGTTTTGACATAGGAAGTCAATCAGAATTATTAACCACTTTACTAGAATAAAGCAACAAGCCATAAAATAATCTCAATAGATGTAGAAAGTACATTTACTAAAATTCAACTCATATTCCTGATAAATACTCTCAGAAAACTAGGAATTGAAGGAAACCTCCCCAACCAGAAAAAGGCCATTAATAACAGTAACAAAAAAATCAAAAAACATGGCTAACAACATACTTAATCATGAAACTAGAATGTTTTCTCCTAAGATCAGGAACAAAGCAAGGTTGTCCATGCTCACTCCTCCTAACTAGTGAGTGCAATGCAGCAAAAAATCCTGAGAAATTTCCAAAACACTTACTGGAAGTAATAATTGTTTTTAATAAGATTACAGCATTCCAGGTCAGAATATAAAGATCAGTTGCATTGTGTATACTGTTAGCAATTGCAAATTGAAATTTTAAAATGCTGCTTGTAATAGCACAATAAATCACTTAGGAATGAATTCAATGAAAGATGTGCAAGACCTCTATACTTGTTATTGTCAGACATCTTCATTTTTGCCGATCAAATTGTTATATCATATCTTACTGTGGCTAGATTACAATTCCCTAATCATTAATGATGTTGAACATCTCTTCATGAATTTATTGACCATATTGACCATATGTGTTTTCTCTTAGAAATGTGTGTTCATACTATTTGCTCACATATTGTTTGCTTTTCCCATTGATTTGTATGATGTCCTTTTTTTTTTTTTTCTGAGACAGAGTCTCACTCTGTCACCAGACTGGAGTGCAGTGGCACAATCTCAGCTCACTGCAACCTTCGCCTCCTGGGTTCAAGTGATTCTCTTGCCTCAGCCTCCTGAGTAGCTGGGATTACAGGTGCGTGCCACCACACCCAGCTAATTTTTGTATTTTTTAGTAGAGATGGGGTTTCACCATGTTGGTCAGGCTGGTCTCGAACTCCTGACAATATGATCCACCCGCCTCGGCCTCCCAAAGTGCTGGGATTTCAGGCGTGAGCCACCATGCCCAGCCTGTAGGATGTCTTTAAACATTCTTGATATTAATACTTTGTCAGTTGTATGAATTTCAGATACCTGCTGCCAGTTTGCAAATTGCTTGATTAATAATCCCTTGTTAGGGCCGGGCGCGGTGGCTCAAGCCTGTAATCCCAGCACTTTGGGAGGCCGAGACGGGTGGATCACGAGGTCAGGAGATCGAGACCATCCTGGCTAACACGGTGAAATCCCGTCTCTACTAAAAAATACAAAAAACATTAGCCGGGCGAGGTGGCGGGCGCCTGTAGTCCCAGCTACTCGGGAGGCTGAGGCAGGAGAATGGCGGGAACCCGGGAGGCGGAGCTTGCAGTGAGCTGAGATCCGGCCACTGCACTCCAGCCTGGGTGACAGAGCGAGACTCCGTCTCAAAAAAATAAAAAAATAAAAAATAAAGTACCTATTATAAACCTGCTTAGTAATATTTATTTTGTGAAATCATGAAGTGAGTGAATATACTTGATTAAGAGCAGATTTTGGGGAGATTATTCGATGTAGTGGGAGAAGACTGTTTGATTAAGAATTGAATATTTGACTACGAGTTGGAAATTTCTTTTCTTTCAAGATCCAGATAGCATGTGTTGTAGACTTCATAGACTACAAATGAGAAATTCTAGTCTGGTTTTCGTCTGGAGTCTTGGTCTTATACTCATCTTTGTTTTTCTTTACAACTCCTTAAAAAATACAAAATCCATTTCAGTTTGTGGGTCACAGATTGCCAACCCCTGTTTTAGACAGTACCTATAGGTAGGAGGTTGGAAACAAGAGACAGTGAAGAAATAAATGTAACCCAGATATCAGCAGAGGACTTTCTGTGCTCTCCTCCTTGCCCTCAGCCACAAAATCTCAATAAAGTTGACTTTAGCCTTCCATTCTCTATCCTGTAATTACAGACTGCTCCCTAGTGATTAGTAAATTCTACTATATCTCTAGCTGTGGCTTTAGTGTATATGATTGCTTTCATCCCATATCAACATGAAGTTCAGTCCTTTCATCAGCTTACAACTCACATACCCACACATATGCATGTGCACACACACACACACACACACAGAGGGACTCACTAGTTCACTCAGGAGAAGCATTTTGTGGATTTAGTTACATTACTGCATATTTGAGGGTGTAATTGAGAAGGTTCACATTGAGAACCACACAGCCTATCTGCAATCACATAGCTCTCTCAGTCTTCCACCACAGGACAAATTAATTCCTCTTAAGACCTTATGCAAATGGTGTTGTTTTATTAACTTTTCTAAAACTATGCTACTCGGCATCACCACCTCCAAGCACGTTTATCCAGGCATTTTCTCAACAGATACAGTTTATTCCTAACAGCCATAATAATGATAATAATAGCAGCAATACATATGTAGGGCTTAGTATGGAACATATAATTCTAAGTATTTTAGTCCTCACAGGAAAGCCATGAGATAAATACTATTATCAACTTCATTTTACAAAGGAAGAAATAGAGTCACTGAGGGTTTAAGTAACTTGCCCACAGCGGAGAAGAAACTTTCACATAGTCAGAATAGGGGTGATTAATAGTATCACAAGCAGAGAGACCCAGAAGGATGAGACATGAAAAATAATCCTTTTACAATTATGGGTCAGTTGACAGGATGATGATGGATACATTCTGAGAAATGCCTCATTCAGCAATTTCATGGTTGTATGAACATCTTAGAGTGTAAACAAACCCAGATATATATATATCTATGTATATAGCCTGTTGCTCCTAGGCTACAAACCTGCATAGCATGTGACTGTACTGAATACTGTATGACATACAATAAGAGTGGCTAATGAGAAAATGTAAGTAATGGTTATAGATCACTTATGCTTAGCTTTTCACAATTTCTCCTTTGTTTAATCCTCTGTATTGAGATCATTAAATCTATCATTTTACATAATTATATCTGTAATGTTATTCCTACAGCCTCATAAAAGTTGTTTTATATTACTACTAACTTGTTATTATCCAATCTTCTAGGATGTGGTACCACAGATTGTCCCACCTACAAAGCAGGCTTCAGGACTTGCTGAAGGGAGGAGTCATATATCCAGCCCTTTCACAGCCCAACTTCAAAAGCTTACTTCCTTTAGCTGTCCATTGGCACCATACAGTCTCCAAGTCTCTGACTTGTGCTTGGCAGCAACATGAAGATCATTTTGGTAAGAGATGTGTGAAGACAGATACTTTTTAAAACTTGTGGTAAGAAATATTTGCTTTGGCAGCACATATATCAAAAATTGGAATGACAAAATTGTGGTAAGAAAACACACAGTATAAAATTTATTCTCTTAACCATTTTAAGTGTACAATTCACATTGTTATGCAATGATAAATACCTTCTGTGTGGTCTGAAAATACTTTTTGTGGAGTTGACAGGACCTCTAGCCATTTATTTTTAAGATTAGCCTACAAGTTGGGAGAAAGACAAAAATAACAGAAGGCAATAGCAAAATCCCTTCTCAACTAGGGGAAGGCAACTCAGCCTGTTCCAGCCCCACTCCATCTCCCTGTCTTACCTAAGGGAAAAAAAAAGAAAGAAAGAAAAGAAAGCCTTAATATACAAGGGAGCGGGTTTCAAAGACATAGACTAGGAATGTTACAACCACAGAAAGTATTAGTTTGTGTAATTTGTTATGGCAGCCTTAGAAGACTCATTACCTATGTGTATGAGTCTTCTAAGGCTGCCATAACAAATTACACAAACTAGGTGGTTTAAAACAACAGTTTATTTTCTCATAGTCTTGGAGGGTTGGTAAGGCCATGCTCCCTCCAAAGGCTTTGGGAGAGAGTTTTTCCTTGCCTTTTCTAGTTTCTTATGGTTGCTGGCAATCCTTGGCATTACTTTGCTTGTGCCAGCATTACTCCAATCTCTGCTTTCATATTCACAGGGCCTTCTTCACAATGCCTAATCTCTGTCTTCAAATATTTCTCTCTTTATAAAGATAGCAGTCATTGGATTTAGAGCCCACCCTAATCCAGTGTGACCTCATTTTAACTTGATTACATCTGCAAAGACGCTTTCTAAATAAGGTTACGTTCACAGGTACCAGGGATTCGGACTTCAACGTATCTTTTGGGGGGTTACAGTTCAATCTACCACACCCTGGAAGAGAAACAAAAACAATTGTGAAAGTCACACTTCCAAGACACAGGCCCACTATGCACTCCAGAGACTGAGAATCTGAAGATTGTAGAATGCCCTCATCCCCCCACACCCTACAACAAGCTAATAAGCCTCCAGTTAAAATGACAATGGATTACAGCTGGAAGAGCTGCAAGAGACAACCTGTCTCTGAGGTACAGCACAAAGGGAAGGGCCAAGGCCAAGAGAGAAGACAAAAGCAAAATCACTAGAGAAATTTAATGCTTCTGGTACCCACAGAGACAACAAACATCAAACACAACCTAACTCTGGGCCAGATTAATATATATATTCATGGTAAAATCCTATTTACCTCAGTAGCTATTGCTCTATACAAGATGTCTGGCTTTTAACAATAACAGAATTACAAAACTTGCTAAGGCAAGAAATAACACAATTTGAAGAGGCAAAGCAATATCAGAACCAGACTTACATATGACACAGGTGTTGAAATTATCAGTCAGAATTTTAGGACTTTTTTGTATTTCTGTGAAAAATGTAATTGAAATTTTGACAGGAGCTGCATTGAATCTGTAGATCACTTTGAATAGTATAGATATTTTGACAATATTAATTCTTCCAATCCATGAAGATAGAATATTTTTTCATTTATTTATGTGTTCTCCAATTTATTTAATCAATATTTTATAGTTTTGAGTGTAGAGATTATTAATCTCCTTGGTTAAATTTATTCCTAAGTATTTTTTGCAACTATTATAAATAGGATTGTTTTCTTGATTTCTTTTTCAGTTAGTTCATTGTTAGGGTATAGAAGCATTACTGATTTTTGTATGTTGGTTTTACTGAATTCATTAAGTCTAACAGTTTTTTGGTGGTCTCTTTAGGGTTTTCTATATATAAGATTATTTCATCAGTGAACAGAGACAAATTCATCTCTTTCTTTCCTATTTGCATGTCTTTTATTTCTTTTCCTTGCCTAATTACTCTGGCTATGACTTTCAGTAGTATGTAGAGTAAGAGTAGGAAGAGTAAGCATCATTGTCTTGTTCCTGATCTGAAAGGAAAAGTTTTCAACTTAAGACACCGAATGGCTAAAGCAATCTTGAGCAAAAAGAACAAAGCTGGAGGCATCATACTACGTGATTTCAAAATATATTACAAAGCAATAGTAATCAAAACAATATAGTACTGGCATAAAAATAGACACATTAACAAATTCATTATAAATACACATACACATCTTAAAATAAACAAGCAAGACCTCACACGTAGGCATATTATATTAAAACTGCAGAAAACCAAAGACAAAGAGACATTCTTGGAGGCAGCCTAGTGGGGAGAAAAACACCTTACCTACAGAGAAACAAAGATAAGAATTGCAGTGGACTTCTCATCAGGAACTGTGCAAGCAAGAACACAATGGAATGACAAACTTAAGTGATAAAGGGGGGAAAACTACCAATGTAGAATTATATATCCAGCAAAATGATCCTTCAAAAGTGAAAGATAAAGACTTTTTCATACATCAATACTATTTTGATTACTGTCACTTTGTAAGACCTCCAATTTTGTTCTCATTTTTCAAGATTATTTTGACTATTCGGGGTCCCTTGAGATTCCCTATGACTTTTAGGAAGGTTTTTTTCTGTTTCTACAACAAATTCCATTGGAGTTTTGATAGGTATTGCATTTAATCTGTAGATCACATTGGGTAGTATGGGCATTTTAACAACACTAAGCCTTCCAATCCATGAGCATGAGATGCCTTTCCATTTATTTGTACCTTTCTTTGATTTCTCTTAGCAACATTTTGTAGTTTTCACTGTAAAAGTGTTTCTCTAACTTGGTTAAGTTTATTCCTAAGTATTTCATCCTTTTTGATGCCATATGCAGAAAGCTGAAACTAGATCCCTTCCTTACACCTTATACAAAAATTAACTCAAGATAGATTAAAGACTTAAACATAAGACCTAAAACCATAAAAACCCTAGAAGAAAACCTAGGCAATACCATTCAGGACATAGGCATGGGCAAACACTTCATGACTAAAACACCAAAAGCAATGGCAACAAAAGCCAAAATAGAGAAATGGGATCTGATTAAACGAAATAGCTTCTCCACAGCAAAAGAAACTACCATCAGAGTGAATAGGCAACCTACAGAATGGGAGAAAAGTTTTGCAATCTATCCATCTGACAAAGGGCTAATATTCAGAATCTACAAAGAACTTAAACAAATTTACATGAAAACAAAACAACCCCATCAAAAAGTGGGCAAAGGATATGAACAGACACTTCTCAAAAGAAGACATTTATGCAGGCAACAAACATATGAAAAAAGCTCATCGTCACTGGTCATCAGAGAAATGCAAATCAAAATCATCTCACACCAATTAGAATGTCAATCATTAAGAAGTCAGGAAACAACAGATGCTGGAGAGGATGTGGAGAAATAGTAACGCTTTTACACTGTTGGTGGGAGTGTAAATTAGTTCAACCATTGTGGAAGACAGTGTGGCGATTCCTCAAGGATCTAGAACTAGAAATACCATTTGACCCAGCAATCCCATTACGGGTATATACCCAGAGGATTATAAATCATTCTATGATAAAGACACATGCACACTTATGTTTATTGCAGCACTGTTCACAATTGCAAAGACTTGGAAACAACCCAAACGCCAATCAATAATAGACTGGATAAAGAAAATGTGGCACATATACACCATGGAATACTATGCAGCCATAAAAAAGGATGAGTTCATGTCCTTTGCAGGGACATGGATGATGCTGGAGACCATCATTCTCAGCAAACTAACACAAGAATAGAAAACCAAACACCGCATGTTCTCACTCATAAGTGGGAGTTGAACAATGAGGACACATGAACACAAGGAGGGGAATATCACACACCAGGGTCTGTCGGGGAGTGGAGTCTAGGGGAGGGATAGCATTAGGAGAAATACCTAATGTAGATGACAGGTTGATGGGTGCAGCAAACCACCATGGCACATGTATACCTATGTAACAAACCTGCATATTCTACACATGTATCCCAGAACTTAAAGTATAATAAAAAATAAAATTAAATAAATAAATGGAATTTTTTTCTTAATTTTTCTTCTTAGATTGGTCACCATTAATATGTAGAAATGCAATGGATTTTATGTATTGCTTTTGGAAATCCTGCAAATTTTCTGACATCATTTATTAGTTATAATACTTTTTATTGCATATGGAATCTTTAGGGTTTTCTACATATAAGATCATGTCATCTGTGAATAGAAACAATTTTACTTCATCTTTTCCAGTTTAGATTTCTGTTACTTCTCTTTCTTGTCTAATTTTTCTAGCTAGGAATCCCAGTACTTCAACAATAGTAATATTGAGGGTGGGCATCCTTTCCTTATAGTGTGCATCCATTAACATAGATCTATAATTATTTGTTACTTTTGTGTTTAAAATTTATACCATATTTAAAAGTGATTTACACACTTATATTACAATACTACACAATAAACCTTTACCAGAAGGTTTATATTTTCATATGATTTTGTGTTGCTATTTATCATCCTTTTTCTTCAAGTTGAAGGATCCCTTCAGCATTTCTTGTGGGGCAGATTGAGTGGCGATCAACTTCCTCTCCTTTTGTTTATCTGGGAAGTCTTAATCTCTCCTTCATTTTAGAAGGACAGTTTTATAAAATATAATGTTCTTCTTGGGCAGGTTTTGTTCTTCAGTAATTGAATATATTATTTCACTCCTTTCTAGCCTGCAAGGTTTTGCTAAGAAACCAGCTGATAGTTTAATAGAAGCTCCCTTGTATGTGATGAGTCATTTTTTCCTGCCACTTTCAAGATTCTGTCTGTGTGACTTTTGACAGTTTGATTTTGATGGGTCTCAGTGTAGGTCTCTTTAGATTTATTCCAACTGGAGTTGTTTATTGAATTTGTGTGTCCTTTTCTCTCATCAGATTTGGAGAGTTTTCAGCCATCATTTCTTCAAATAAGCTCTCTACTCATTTCTCTTTTCTCCTTTTGTGATTTCCATCATGCAT